CTCCAGGGTCGGTGACTTCACCACCTCCCTGAGCAGCCTTTTCCAGGGCTTGACCACTCTTTCAGTGAAGTAGTATTTCCTAATGTCCAGCCTAAATCTCCCCTGGCGTAGCTTGAAGTCATTCCCCCTAGTCCTATCACCAATCACACGAGAGAAGAAGCCGACCCCCAGCTCACCACAACCTCCATTCAGGTAGTTATAGAGAGCAATAAGGTCTCCCCTGAGCCTCCTCTTCTCCAGACTGAACAATCTCAGCTCCCTCAGTCACTCCTCATAAGGCCTGTGCTCCAGACCCCTCAACAGCTTTGGCGCCCTTCTTTGAACCCGCTCCAGGACCTCAATGTCTTTTTGCAGTGAGGGGCCCAGAACTGGATGCAGTACTCGAGGTGCAGCCTCACCAGAGCTGAGTACAGGGAGACAATCGCTTCCCTGTTCCTGCTGGCAACACCGTTCCTGATGCAAGCCAAAATGCCATTGGCCTTCTTGGCCACCTGGGCACACTGCTGGCTCATGTTCAGCCAAGCATCTATCAATAACCCCGGGTCCATTTCCTCTACACGTCTTCCAGCAACTCTTCCCCAAGCCTGTAGCCTTGCCTGGGGTTGTTGTGGCCAAAGTGCAGGACCCAGTATTCGGTCTTGTTGAACCTCATCCCATTGGCTTCAGCCCAGCTATCCAGCCTGTCCAGATCATGTCCTCTGATTCCTTATCCTTCAGCTGCAGGAAGGGAGAAGGAATAATATTCTTCTTTTTATCCTTTCTCACTTTTCTTTCCTGAGGATTACATTGCATGCCTTATGAAGCTGCCAGTCTCTGAAGCAGCTGTATTTTAAGAAGTCTGCTTAGCTGCACATGGTCTCACTGAGAGAATCCTGACTGCAACAATGCACTGGCTATTTTTCTGTCTTGTGTTATTTTTTCCAGTTGTTTCTCAGTCAATGCAAATAATAATTATTCCCTATAGAAATGCCTTTTAAATAGAATTGCAATTCTCTAGAAATTATAAGGAAAGCTACAGTATAATGAAGCACATAAAATCAATGCTGATGGCTGAAATAACTTTGGGCATTCAGCAGAGGAGACTCATGCATCTTTGTACCAATGATCTAGTAGCACATCTTAACATGAGTAGTCTAACATTTTTAAGATTCTCCCAGCAGGTTTTGTATTGCACAACATTTCAATTAACAATGGATTATCACTAGTGAGGGAGGCAAGGATTCACATGACAAATGATGATAATTTAAGTAATGATCTAGGTGATGTGCACTTGAATACTAATTCTGTTGTGGCTTGGAACATGAGACATGACTAATTCAGACAGCTTTCATGTGATTAAAAGGAACCAAATATCAGCCTACAGCTGTTCTCTTTGTGGAAATGGCTCATATTTTTGCAGAAGTGGTGGAGTATCAATTTTAAAGCTATTTTGTTGTGTATTCCTCTGTTGCATACTCCTGGACTTCTGTATGCAGAGGCATTTCCATTTGTAGATACAAATGGAGTTTTTGTCTTGCAGTAGCATGTCAAGAGCACCATGTGTACTCTCTCCCAGGTTTGTGAGGACAGAAAATAATTAGCTACAATGGGAGCAATTTTGGTGCTCTTGTGTATGTGCAAAGTGTCCCTTCCACATGTGGTGTTTCTCAGCATCCCATATTGATGCATTGACTGAGTGGTGAGGCTCTGCTTGCAGACAAACTGGGCTGAAACATCCTTGTCCTTGTTGAGGGCTGCTCCTGGGTAGGAGTCAGGAGATTCCCATCAGTCACTGATAGGATGGAGGGGCTTGGTGAAGAGTGTGTTTTGGAGGGGAAAGGGAAATCCTCCGTGGGATCCAAGTAAGACAGAAAACCAACAGCTTGAATTTTTCTTCTGTACTGTAGATGTTGCCCTTGCTAGAGCAAACCACTCCTGCTGGAACTTGTAGTAAATTTTTAGTGTATCAACTGCCCTCAGAAGACGTTTCAATGAATGCAAACTGTAAATATAAAACAACAGGCAGAACTGGTCAAATTATTTCTGAGATGGGATTTCAGCTCCTTACACTATTCATAGTCTTTGGAGATGCCTTAGTTTTTCATTTCCTGATATATATATGAAGAGCTCAGTTGTAAAGTTGCCTCACACTTCGCTGTTCCCAACCCTGCATAATACTGTGTAATTTTGTAAATGATGTTAACTTTAATGATTTAACAAGAAATATAATTATAGTTTCTACAGCAACCATGGCTTTAAATATCCTGAATTATGTACGTGTATAATTTCAAACATAATGAAATAGTAATGCAGCTCATTGCATGTAAATTACATTCAAAGTTAAAACTTTTAAGAGAAAACTGGATGGATGGGAAAAAATGTGTGAGAAAGCCCTAGTTAGAATGACAATTTCTGCTGTTTCATGCTCAGAAAGTTTAAAATAAAATACATTTTCTTCCTGAGCCAATTAATTTCTTCGCTGAAAATAAGTGGGCAAATATTGTTTGTAAGCAGTGCTGTATGTTAGCATCAGATAAAGGTTTGTGACAATGCTTTCTGCTGCAGAAATGGGGTGTTGCCCCCAAAAAAGCATTTGCACAGTGCTGTTGGGATGAAACTGCTGGCAGTGAAACGGTGAGGACACGATTTTTGTTTTGGTCTTACTTGGGGTTGGTTGCATCTGAGAACATTGATTCTTATATTTGGTAGCTCTGCTGTTCAACAACCAACTGCCCAAGAAACTTCTGTCTTCTTGAACAGATTGTTTTTTGTTAGGCAATTATAGCTCTAGCAGAAATTTATTATAATGCACATGAGCCAAGGAAAGGAAGGGAGTGTGAAGATGGGTAACAGCAGTGTCATGAACAGGGAGGCAATCGGAGCTAAGGAGTGCAACACATTGTTTGATAAAACAGATGCTCCTGAAATAGCCAGGAAATTTGCCAGTGGGCTGGAAACACCAAAGTGGTGGAAGCACAGGGCCTCCCTACCCACCTAAACACCCAAAGGAGCAATCCTTCCCC